ACCCCCCCAAACTGTAGCCCCTGTGCGAACAATAAAGTCAAAGGAACCATACCCCTACTCGCGATCCTTCGCGAGATATAAGCCCCTGAAATAATAAATTCCTATTACAAATATACTGAATTATTTATATTGTTATATTGACCAAATAATAATTTATGGGCCAAATGAATAATAATAATTCATATTGTTAATTTAAATAAGAATTAAAATTGTTAATTTGAATGTTTGAAATATGACACACGATAGGGGTGCCTCTAGTGTCCGTTATCAAACGGTTACGGGACAGATGGACACTTTGAATGGGTTATATATATAGATAATTCACAACCTTCCTAATTATCCTTATTTGTAAATTATTCAGATGAAAATAATATTAGTTTGTAATGTATAGAGAGAAGTAAAAGATAATCAAATTAAAAAAACAAAACTCCCAATGAGTGCAGACAGGGAGGTATATAGAATCTGTGGAGAGTGTTCTACTTCCTGCAGTTACAACTACCACTTATCAATCCATCAAACATTTTAAGTATTTCAAGTTTCAGTTTAAATCAGAAAAATGATAATTTTCAATTAAACTGTCAGTTTTTGGATGCACTATACATATAAAATTATTACATATATTGTTTTTTCAATATCTGCTGATTTCCTGGATCTGAAAGCAGTCTAAAAAAATGTTTAGATGAAAGCAATCTGTCATTGTAAGCTAAAGTCATGACTTTCTCAAATAAAATGCAACAGTTAAACCTAGAACTTTACAGAGGATACTTATGTATGCCCCTGAATAATTATACAAAAGCTCATTAAATTCTTCTTTCAGCCTCTCTTTGTCAAATATTAGAACTCCTATATGTTCTTATATGTGTGGAAATATGGTATCCATAATCAATCTAAGACAGTGTTTTTCAACCTGTGGGTCGCGACCTTCAGGGGGGTCGCGGGTAAAAGAGAAAAACAAGTGTTTGTAGGTCCTACACTACATTAAAAAAACTACAATTTCAGTGAGAATTATGACCCACCCCAGAAAATGATAGCCGAAAAAGTGTTGAGCTGATTTGCAAAATGAAATAAAAAGTAGAAGGTGAGAATTCTGATCCTAAAAAGAAAAAAGGTCAACAGTTTCCTGTGCCAAATGTTATAAGTAAAGGAAGTTTCATACTTTATGTGTGTTAAATTATTGTCGATTCTTCTGAAATTTTCATTTTAATCAACAATAATTTGTCTCAACAGAAAGAAAATTAAATACATAGTTTTTAAAATCACTGATATAGTTTTATTATGCCCTAGGGGGGTCACCAGAATTTTTTAAGTTGTAAAGGGGTTGCGTATTCAAGAAGGTTGAAAAACACTGATCTAAGAAATTCTTAACTTACAACAATTTGGTTTGTTTGAAAAGTAAGGTAACAAGCCATTATTCATAGAACAGTTTTGTTTCCAAAACAGCATGTAATAACATGTAGCAAGAGGTATCATTAGTGTCCCACAAAGTTATCTTCCCTTCATTTGACATACAAACAAGATCATAAGCTATCCAAATTCACAATATTTCAGTGTTATATTTTATTAATCCATTTTTCAAACACACCAACTACTTGCATATATTGAACAATTTGATTTGATTATGTATGTAAATATTAGCATATCACTATAATTTTATGGTACCTTGTTATATTAATTCCATTATAATCTTTTCAATTTCTCTAATTATTGATACTGTTTATGTAAACATCTGATGTTTTTAAATGTTAATTGATTTTTGAACATTTATTTTATTAATTAGTAATTGATAAATTTGTTTTTATTATACTGAAACTTTAAGAAAACAAATTGTTTAATTCATAAAAATTTGAGTTATTCTTTTAAATAGCATAATACAAAATATTAGAAAATTTAACCAAAGTTTACTTTTAGTTTTTGCAACAATAGTAAAAATGCTGAAAATTTTATATTATTTACAGATCATTACAAGAATGCCATATTTTTCTGAAACAGGATTCTGAAATGGATCATACTGATACATTTTCAAGCATCTTTCAAGATGCCTTTGGTGAATTTTACATTAAATTTTACTGTTTTTTATTTTCATGTTTCATATTTTGAATAAATAGATTCAAATTATATTTTACTTTTTAGTTTATTGTGATAAATTGTCTGATCTTGGTTCAGATATTTCAAGTCCAGATTTGATTGTACAAAATTCTATGCAAACTAACAATGTGTCATCAATTCTTCCCCATTCGGTTGCTTTAAGTTCTCCTAAGTCTAACAGCATTTCTTCACATTGTGCATCATCTCCAAAAGTAAACTATAAAGTCGAAGATGTTTTATTAACACCGGAAGATTTTATTTCATCTTCACCTACATCAGTAAATAAAATAGCACCATGTGTTTCATCTCCATCATCATGTGTTCCTGTTGCTTCTTGGGAAGATTTAGATATCAAATCTCCTCCATCAGGCAGAGATGAAAATTCCATAAATTCCATTACTTCATTGGATACTTCATGTAAATATTTTAATTTTTTTATTTATAAAATAAAATAATTTGATGTAATGCAATTTGAAATTGATATAATATGATATTTTATAATTTGTCATTGTTTCTTTTATAAGAAACTCTGATAGATTTTAGAAATAATTTTTTTAAATCTAGATCTAGCAAATCTTTTACCATTTCAAATGGAATAACATGTAAAACTGAAGAATGATTATTATTGTATTTGCAGTGTTTAAGTTTGCACCTTTTGTAATGATTAGTTGAATATATATATATCTGAAAAATGTGATATCAAACTGAACATTTAAAATAATGAATTCCTTCAAAATTAAACTCAAGTAAATAGATTAATATCCTATTACTTGAATATCTTATAATAATGATATAACGATGGGTTGATGATAATAATAATAAGTAAGAAAACAGTACATTAAGAATGCACACTAAGAAAGGATTTTTGGAAATTCCCCCTGCAGGGGAGAGAGAGAGGTTTAAGAATTACCATGAAGAACTCTGCTTCTACTGTAATATATAATATTTTAGATGCAGTGTTTTTGCATTTTTGCAGGAAATCAAACATATTTTTAGACCCATCTAAAAATTTTCTAATTAGTCTTGGTGGACCTAATTCTTGCATCTGGTGAAAACAGGTAAGATCAGCTATAATCTAATAATCTTAATCTCTGATAATCTCTCTCATAATCTATTGCTACTTTTTGCCCAAGCAACACTGGAGCAGAAACATTTCAGAAAAGGGGCAAAATATCATACATATATGTCATTTCCTCCTCTTTGGGTCTTTCAATTTTTTCTCGCAAATTGCATAATGGAATGTACTTTGATGCATATTCTGAAACTTGTATAAAATTGGAATATATTACTTCATTTGAAAATTTAACTGAAATTATATGAAAGCTGTGCTTTCACAACAATTTAAGTTTTTCAAAATGTATGGTTCCATATTTATTGCAAGTGCGTGTTTCATATAAAAAATTTTCTTTGTATGTCGATTTCATCCCAACAAAAATCTTTGTCCCTTTGGGGATTTGATGGACTATTGGGAATTTAATCAAATTCAAAATGCAATTTTCAGGTACCCAGATATCAGCCATAAACCAAAAGTTTTTGTTTATACTTATACTTTGTTTCAACAATCTTTCTGTCAGAATAATCAAAGAACAATCATCAGTGTATCTCCTCGGTCTCTTATTGGCAGTTATTATTACTGGAAGTGTTACCACATTTTTCTGAGTGCAATAGTCTCTTGAGGATTGAACTTTTTCTTTTGTTAAAGTGCCACGAACTTCCATCAAGTTCAAAGTCTGTTCTAAATCATTAGGTGCCATATTAAAAATTCTGATCATGAGGAGGAAAGATCTCATCAAGTCTCTTTTAGATATATTAATATTATCATTTGTTTTTCTACATTTCTGATCAACCCAGTTGCAAAGTCTGCAAAACATGCAATTTGTCAATCCTATAGTAAGCAGGACACATCAATAACTTGTGGATGGTAGTTTCTTTGCATAATTGGAAATCATTGGTGTTAAAATAGTCCTTACACAAATTAAATTGTCTCCAACAATAATACTGCAATTGGTATTCATTGTGCCTGCAAGCCAAATTGTGGATGACAATTGTCCATTGTAAGAATGAGATAATAGCGACGATTCAAACATTTCTTTTCGAGTT